GACCCCAACACAACTAGGGTCCAATATAGATTATCCAGCCTCCCCTCCTTGATATTATCTGGTAACCAACCTGTAACATTCCTAATTAGGCCCACCAAAGCAGTGCTTACATAGTACGCTGTACCAATTACTACTGATATCATGGCAGTTGCTGTGCTTCAAAGTGCTACTGGAAATTCTTGATAGTACAAATCCACTTGTGCCAGAAAATGGAATGTTTCTCCAATACCGACTATAACAAGTTGAGGAAACAGCCACAGGACTGACATAGGGACTATAGGCCCGGGCTGCTGTTGAAGGTGCTTGGCATGGGCTATTTTCAGCCTTCTGGACTCCACCAAGGCTGATATGGCCATGCTTAGCACATTAAAAACATGGCCTATGCTAGTCCATTGGAGAGGTGTCAGCACCCGATTAGTTAACTTCTGTCAGGTCGGGAGAAGGAAACGATCAAAGATGAGAAGGGAGATGCAGGTGGAGATTAACACCACAACTATTGTCCCAGCTGAGATTTTGAAACTAGAACCAAAAAGATTGCTATTGGGGTAACTAAGAATGTTGTGCTTCACCAAAGTGGGAAAATTCTAACTAGAGTTTTAAGGTTTTCCACCTCTTGAACCGTACATAGCCTCAATGGCTTTGCAATGGATCCATTTGATTGAATGTCCCCTTCAGTTTTTAGGCTTGCCCGGTTCAAAAACTTGCAGAAGGGAAAAAAAAAAAAAGCAATCCCCCACCTGTGAGTTTTGATTTAATGAAGAGAAAACCATTGTTGCCAATACAGAATAAACTCATACCTTAAGCTCTAAGAAGGAGTTGCAACCAAAATCATGTTTGTTCCATCTATTCCATGGCAATTATGTTGAAGAATTTTCAAAATATTTTCAGGATTTGGATTCGAACCACAAAAAGTTGGTTCAAAGCAATTGCACATAATGCATTTGAGAAAATGTAACTTTGGTTCAAATCATAATTATATGTTTCGAATCGTTTACGTAAAACTAGAATCCGAAAAATTACGATTTTGGTTCGAATCACATTTTTCTGGTTCGAACCATTTACGTTAGAATAAGAGATGAAATTCAGATAAGTTTCTGAAGAGAATAGATAACTTTGGAAGGCAATGAAACACATCATTTGGAGTTCAAATCAAATCAAATGACTTTTGGAAGAGTTTCCAATGGATAAATTTTATTAAAACTCAGTTATTATCCGTTAATAAATTGATAATAACTGAAAAGGAGCGTCTGTTCACAAGAGACATTTTGTCCCTATAAATATGAAGTTATCTCTACTTCTTCTTTATCTCTTGAACCCAGAAACAAATCCCTACTATTATCTAAATAAAACAGCCCCTTTTTGCACTTTGATTGCTGTAGAAATCCTTGTACAAAAACTATTGTTTTGTTGCTTTCCAAAGGACGGTTCAATGGTTGATCTTGCTAGTGCAAAAGCAAGATCAACAAGGTGCTTCATTATATCCTACGGGCATTTTGGGTTACTCCTTTTTCACACCAGATCTGGTGGGGGCAAAATTAGCCTAAAGGAAAGTGGCATTTGCAACACGCCTTGAAGCCATTTGCAGATTTTCTACCCTATTTATTCAACAATCTTTAGGCTAATTTTTCTGTTATGCAATTATGGCTGCAACTTTGCGTGAGATGGCTACTAATTTCCAGAAGTTAGATCGCTTTGATGGGGGCAACTTTATTCGATGGCAACGCAAGATGCACATCTTTCTCACAACTCTCAACATCGTTTATGTTCTCACTGATGCTCGACCAGAGGAAAATGAGAATGAAACTTTGCAAGATACAAGGAAAAGGAAAAAGTGGGAGAATGATGATTATGTCTGCAGGTGCTGCATCTTAAATGGTATGTCTGATTCCCTTTTGATACTTATGTTCATGAGTCTATTGCAAAAGAATTATGGGATAAGTTAGAAGCAAGATATATGAATGAAGATGCAACAACTAAAAAGTTTCTGGTGACCAGATGGAATAATTATAAAATGATTGATAACAAATCAATCATGGAACAATTTAGAGAAATTGAAAAGTTGTTGAATAGTTTCAAGCAATATGATCTGAAGATGGATGAATCCATAGTTGTGTCTTCAATAATTGATAAACTTCCTCATGCATGGAAAGATTTCAAGAGAACATTAAAACACAAAAAGGAAGATATTTCTCTTGAAAATCTTGCTAACTCTTTGAGACTTGAAGAGAAATATAGAGTAGAAAATGAAAAGGAGCAGAAAGTGCAAGTCTCAGATGTGCATGTATTGGAGGAAGGAACTTCAAGCAAGCCCAAAAAGCCTTTCAAGAAGAAGGAGTATTCTGTCAAGCAAAATCAGAAATTTAAGAAGCAAAAGGGTGCATGTTTCCATTGTGGAAAAATTGGACACTTCAAAAGGGAGTGTTATTTTCTCAAGAAAAGGAATGCACCAGCATTATCACATGAAAAATTCATTACTGTGATTTCTGAAATTAATCTCATGAAAGATGACACTGCTTGGTGGATAGATTCTGGTGCTACAAAGCATGTTTGTAGGGACAAAAGTCTATTCAAGACTTTAAAACCAGAACCTGAAGGAAATGTGCTGTATGTGGGAAATTCTGCAACAGTACAAGTGAAAGGCAAAGGAACCGTGGACCTTGAGTTCACTTCTGGAAAAATTCTCACTCTCACTGATGTGCATTATGTGCCAGATATAAAAAAAAATCTAGTTTCAGCAAGTTTGTTGAACAAATTTGGTTTTAAACTTGTATTTGAGGCATATAAATTTATTCTGTCTAAGGGTGGAATTTTTGTAGGAAAAGGTTATGCTTGTGAGAGCATGTTCAAGATGGACATTAATGATAATATTAATAATAAGGGTGTTGTTTTTGCTTATATTCTTGACTCATTTAATTTATGGCATCATAGATTAGGACATGTTAATTTCAAGAAGATGCATGAGATATCTAAATTAGAATTAATTCCTACCTTGCCTAAAAATGAATCGCAATGCAAGACATGTATGCTTACTAAGATTACTAGAATTCCTTTTCCTAAGATTGAAAGAGTTTCTAAATTGCTTGATCTAGTGCATAGTGATGTTTGTGACATGCATAGTACTTCTACTATTGGTGGCAAGAAATATTATGTTACTTTTATTGATGATTATTCAAAATTCTATTATATTTACTTGTTAAATACAAAAGATGAAGCAATGGAAAAATTCAAAGTTTATAAAGCAGAAGTGGAATTGCAAAGTGAGAAATTTATCAAATGTCTAAGAACTGATAAAGATGGTGAATATTATGATCCATCTTACTTTGAATCCACTAGAATTATCCATGAGATAACATCCCTATACACACCACAACAAAATGGTGTTACAGAACGTAAGAATAGAGTTTTAACTGAAATGGTGAATGCCATGTTATCAAATTCTGGTTTAAGTCCAGGTTTTTGGGGTGAAGCATTGCTAACAGCATGCCATATATTGAATAGGGTGCCTACTAAAAATGGCCAAGTTATCTCATATGAACTTTGGAAGAAAAGAAAACCAAACCTTAATTATTTAAGAGTTTGGGGTTGTAGAGCAAGTGTAAGAGTACCTTAACCCAAAAGGAAAAAATTAGGTGAAAGAGGAATTGAATGTATATTTTTGGGGTATGCAAAAAATAGTAAGGCATACCGGTTTATGGTCATTGAACCAAATGATTCAATTAATGTCAATATCATAATTGAATCAAGAGATGCTATCTTTGAAGAGAGCAGATTTAATTCAATTCCTAGGCCTAACGAAGCAATTGCTGAAAGTTTAGAACAAAGAATAGAAGACAACTTGAAAGAAAACAAGTTGGAAGAAAATATTGAAGTTAGAAGAAGCAAAAGAGCTAGAAAAGCAAGAACATATGGTCCAGAATTTTACATGTTTCTTATTGAAGGAACAAGAGAAAAGACAAGAAAAGCAACTAAATTTTGTTATAATATAGAAGCTGATCCTGTGACATTTGAAGAAGCAATTAAGTCACAAGATTCAGCTTTTTGGAAGGAAGCCATAGATGAGGAAATGAGTTCCATAATGGGGAATAACACATGGATTTTAGTGGATCTTCCACCAAGTTGCAAACCTATAGGTTGCAAATGGATTTTCAAAAAGAAATTGAAAGTTGATGGCACAATAGACAAATTCAAGGCAAGATTAGTGGCAAAAGGCTATTCACAAAAGCATGGTATAGATTATTTTGATACCTATGCTTCGGTAGCAAGGATTGCCACTATAAGAGTATTAATTGCTTTGGCATCAATTTACACATTGGTAATTCACCAAATGGATGTTAAAACAACATTTTTAAATGGTGAATTAGATGAAGAAGTATACATGGAGCAACTAGAAGGGTTTGTGATGCCTGGTCAAGAAAAGAAAGTTTGCAAGCTTATAAAATCCTTGTATGGACTTAAGCAAGCCCCTAAACAATGGCATCAAAAATTTGATGAAGTGGTGCTTGCTAATGGCTTCAAATTAAATGAAGCAGATAAATGTGTTTATAGCAAGTTTAAAAATGGACAAGGTGTTCTTATATGCCTATATGTAGATGACATGCTCATCTTTGGTACCAACATAGAACAAGTTGAAGAAACCAAAGGGTTCTTGTCTAGAAACTTTTCCATGAAAGATATGGGTGCTGCTGACGTGATTTTGGGGATAAAAATTCATAGAGATGGTGATAATTTAATCCTTTCTCAGTCCCATTATATAGAAAAAGTCTTGAAGAAATTTAATTTTTATGATTGTGCAATTGTTTCTACACCTTTTGATCCTAATGTAAGGTTAACATCTAATGATGGAAAGCCAATTGCACAATTAGAATATTCAAGAGTGATTGGATGCTTGATGTATGCAATGATTTGTACAAGACCAGATATAGCATATGCTGTTGGGAAACTTAGTAGATACACAAGTAATCCAAGTTCTTTACATTGGTAAGGAATACATAGAGTCTTGAAATATCTCAAGAAAACTATGTATTATGGCATTTGCTATAATGGTTATCCTTCTGTACTAGAAGGCTTTACGGATGCTAGTTGGATCACGAATCATGAGGATCATAAATCCACAACTGGATGGATTTTCATGCCTGGTGGGGGTGCTGTTTCTTGGGGATCCAAGAAGCAAACTTGCATAACAGATTCCACCATGGTAGCTGAGTTTATTGCCTTAAACTTTGCATGTAAAGAAGGTGAATGGTTGAAAGATTTATTATATGAAATTCCTTTATGGCCAAAGCCAATGTCCCCGATCTCAATACATTGTGATAATGAGGCTACATTAGCAAAAGCTTATAGCCAAGTATATAATGGAAAGTCTAGACATATTGATCTAAGACATAGTTATGTAAAGCAATTAATTGTTGATGGGATGATCACCATAGACTATGTGAAGTCTATTGAAAATTTAGTAGATCCTTTAACAAAAGGATTAACAAGAGAAAAAGTATATAAAACATCTATATGGATGGGTCTCAAGTCCGTTAATAAAAGTCACACATGATGGAACCTCGACTTAACGCTCGATAAAAACTTCAAGTCTTGAGTTCAATGAGTAAAGTACATCATATGAATGTGACTGCAAGTACTCAATTTATTAATAATACCATCCCAAGTGGAAGAGTACTTGGTAACCGTATGAAATAAAAAGGTTAAATACCCTTTTTGGTCCCTCTACTATAAGAAAAAGCCCCTTTTGAGTCCTTATACTGAAGTCTTGTGTGTGACATGTGCCCAATTAATCACTTAGAATCGCTAGTTCAAAGTATTAGTCTACCATGCAATTTTGACTAATTTGCCAACGCATATTCACTAACCGAAAGGTTCAAATCGTAAGATACCTTCATGTATGCATAAGATTTCCAAAACAATTGGTGGGCTATTCTATTTTGAAAATGGTGGGGGAATGTTGAAGAATTTTCAAAATATTTCCAAGATTTGGGTTCGAATCACAAAAAGTTGATTCAAAGCAATTGCATAGAATACATTTGAGAAAGTGTAACTTTGGTTCGAAACATAATTATATGATGCGAACCATTTACGTAAAACTAGAATCCGAAAAGTTACGATTTTGATTCGAATCACATTTTTCTGGTTCAAACCATTTACGTCACAATAAAAGATAAAATTCAAATAAGTGATAAAATTCAAATAAGTTTCTGAAGAGAGTGGATAACTTTGGAAGGCAAGGAAATATGTCATTTGAAGTTCAAATCAAACCAAATGATTTTTGGAAGAGTTTCCAACAGATAAATTTCATGAAAACTCAGTTATTATCTGTTAATAAACTGATAATAACTGAAAAGGAGCGTCTGTTCACAACAGACATCTTGCCCCTATAAATATGAAGTTATCTCTTCTTCTTCTTTATCTCTTGAACCTAGAAACAAATCCCTACTATTATCTAAATAAAATAGCCCCTTTTTGTACTTTGATTGCTGTAGAAATCCTTGTACAAAAACTATTGTTTTGTTGCTTTCCAAAGGACAATTCAGTGGTTGATCTTGCTAGTGCAAAAGCAAGATCAACAAGGCGCTTCATTGTATCCTACGAGCATTTCGGGTTACTCCTTTTGCATACCAGATTTGGTGGGAGCGAAATTAGCCTAAAGGAAAGTGGCATTTGCAACACGCCTCGAAGCCATTTGCAGATTTTCTACCCTATTTATTCAACAAATAATCCTTAGTTTTGGATGATAGTGGAATATTCCTCTTCCTTATAACAAAAACAAGAACGTGAGCTAAACCAGTGTCTGGGCTTCCTTGAGGCTTGTCATGCCTATAGAATCGAGTGCCAAGCAAGAAAATGGCTAAACCAACAAAACTAGCAACAGAACATAGACCAAACCCCAATCCCCAGCTGATACTATCCTCAACATAGACAATGCCTATAGTACTTACTACACATGCTCCATAAAGGATAAAGAAGAACCAGTTGAAAAA